TCTCTCTCACGAGTTACTGTTCTTCATCACCGATTCATAATTTGTTTGCGTTTTTCATCTAAAATTGATCCTTGAATCTTATAGGTACTGCAAAGGCGACCCCCACTATGTTAAATCTAACCTGAATCAATCGCGTTTTGCAGGATTTGGAAGCAGAAACGATTTTCGCATCGAACTACGTTTACGGCTGCAAGCCGTTCACAGTCGTAAACCGTTCACAGCTGTAAACTCGTTTACGGCTGTAAACTTGTTTATTTCCTTAAACCAATTTTTCATTTAAATCAAATTAATTTGAGGCCTAATCAACTTTTAATTGAGAAAACTTAAGTTTAATTGATTAAATCCTTGGTATTTTCACTTGGCTCGTTTGGTGCAGAACAAATGGCAGACTTGAAATTTTCGGATAACCACAACATTGCTGCTTTCTTGTTTGATCCTCCAGCAGCATACCAAGAATTTAGGTCCATGATTCATACCAAGAATCAGTCTTGCATATGCTTTCACGACAAATCCCATCATTTATCAAGACTTAGTGAATCAATTTTGGAACAAGGCTTCTGTGAGTAAAAGAGAAGATGAAGAAGACACGATGGAATCTATTATTCAAGGAAAGAAAATTGTAGTGTCTGAGCAAACTATTTGTGAAGTGCTGCAAATCAATGATCAGCCAGGGTTTCAAGCTGAGATTTCTATGGAACAAACTGAAGAGATTCTCAAAAGAATGGGCTATGAAGGAGTGTTTCCACCTACTGTGAAGAAGTTGTTGCCTCCTTACTGGCGATTTCTTGCTCACTCCTTCATAATTTGCATCTCAGGCAGGAAATCTGGTGCTGATGAGATTTCCCAATTGAACACTGGTGTTATTGCTGCTCTTGCCATGAGTCTTGAGTTCAACTTTTCAAGATACGTTTTGAATGAGATGATGAGCAATTTAGAAGGAAAAAGGAAGGACAAATTTCTGATGTTCCCAAGGTTTCTCAAGATGATATTTGACAATAAATATCTGGTGTTAGAAAGAAGAGGTGAAACTTTGGACTTGAAGTCTTTGGGTGCTAATACTTTTGGTCTCATGAAACAAAACCACAAGGGTACGGAATTTGTATTCCAAAGAAAGTACTCACTGGAGAAGGTTGGCCAGTTTGCGGAGATCAGTGAAGCATCTGAATCAGAAAGCTCCTCGGACAATGAAGATGATGAAGGTGATGTTATTACTGTTTCTGAGCATGAAGAAGACCCGGTTCTTCCCGTTGCAATTATTGCCGAGGAACATGTACTGATGACTAATGTGGAGGTAAATGATGATGATGATGTGAATGATGATGATGAAGGTGAAGATGTGATGAATCTAGGGGATAATGTACTTGACTTTGATGATGATGAGGATGATGATGCAGCTAATATGGATCAAGGTGGGGATCTATCTGGATTTGATGGTGATAACTTATTCTTCGACTTCGAGTAGGGTGATGATTTCAAGCCAAGTAATGAGGAACTCAATGCGTTCTTTGATGATGTCCATGATGTTGTACAACCTACAGCGGAGACTGAGGGAGTTAGTAATGTTCTCAAGGTGACGCCTCCAACTACGGATCAGATGGCCGAAACTTCAGCTAATCTGGATTCAACTAGAAGGATTCCTCCCCTTTCAGTTGCTACTCCAGCCACTTTGCCATCTGAAGGTGATCTTAGCATGACACAAGCCTCCCAGCCTCCAATCAAAAGGAGAAGAGTCGATCCAAGGCTGGGAGTGATGATTAGGGAACAAGCTTCGCTGGCCCAATAATCTTTTGCAACTGCTACACCGACCCAACAAGCTCATGTTTTGAAAGAAGGAGCAAGTGATGTTCGATCTTCGCATGAAGCCGGGAGTTCCTCAATTCCCGGGGGTTCCTCTCCACCACAACCTGCGCACGATGTTGCCTCCGAGAGGCTTGCCAGGTTCTTGGCTTAACAAAATTCTGACCCTTCACCCCGAGGCAAAGGGATACCTATAGGTGAAGGAAGTTCAAGGGGAGCGGACACATCAATTTTTGAGCTCAAGGAGGAGATCGGAATTCTAAATCAAAAGCTTATAGAGAAGGATGTTTTGATAGGAAATCTTGACGTCAGAGTTTCGAGCTTGAAGAGGAAAATATTTAAAAATCAAAACAGATCTCCGACTTGTAGCTAAATTTGGGTGCATTATCTGCTGGGTACTTCGACCTGAAAAGCAAGCTAATCAGTGAATTTGGCGACAAATTCAAGACACCGGTCGCTGAACCAAATACAGTAGAACCTTCTCATTGTGCTACTTCGCAAGCTGCTCAAGATCCTCCTGTTGATCAACCTGTTAGAACCACAAGAATGGTTGACCGATTTGAGAAAGAACCGGCTCAAACCAATCCAAGAGTTATTCTCAAACGAGCTAAGAAATAGGTATTTTCAAAAAAGAGGGGGAAGTGGCTCTTCATGAAAAATTCAGATCAAAATGTTCGTGGAGACCAGCCCCAACTGACTGTGACTGAGCTCGGAATGAAGCGGTTCAGAGATAAGTATGGTGACCGCTCAGGAATTCTAATGTGAGGTTTTCATGAAAAATTAAATTGTTGGTTGGTAAAGCGCAAGAGCGGAAACGTGGAGTATTACAGGCACAAAAATGACTTTTCTTCTTGGACGAAGGTGGACCTCACTTAACTTGCCGATGCTCCATTTTCAAACCCAGCTAATGATCCACGAGGAACGGATTTCAAACTCTTCTTAGAAAATCAAGTAAAGAGGAAATTCGATGGAATGAAGACAGCCGAATCCTTCGTGAAAAGAGCCAAAGATGTTTTTGACCCTAAGACCAACAAAAGCTTCAAGATCGTGATGTGGCCTCCTACAAAGTAGATGACACAGATTCCTATTGTTAAGCATTTTTGTGATGGATCTCTGGACAATATGGAGTTTTGGGTTTATGATGAAGCTACAGCCACAACAGTCATCAAATTTCCAACTGGCGTTTTTCGACTAGTTGAAGCAAAGGATCTTTTGCAATTTGGTGAACGCGACATTCATACCCTAGCTCGAGATCATATTGTGGTCAAGACTGAAATTCTAGAGCCTGCTGCTAAAGAATTCACAGGAATGGTCGTAGAGATTATTAGCAAGAAAATGTGGCTGGGAGCAATGGGAAGGTCAAACGTGCTTATCATTGAGAAGGATTGAGCTTATGCTAGCCTCAAACCAAGGGGGAGACTGTTAGGTCATATTTTGTTGGTTTGAGCTAGGCATTCATTTGTATGAGTCTTGTTAGTCTTTGTTTAGGTGTTTATAGGGTTTGCGGTTGGGTGAACCGAAAACAGGGCGTTTTCGGTTCAACTAGTGTTTGCGGTTGTTAGTCTGTTTGCGGTCGTGAACTCGTTTACGGTTCATGTTTCCTATATATAGTGTCAGTCTTGTCAGAAGTAAGGACGGTTGTATGTGTGTGTGTCCATTGTACCGGACGTTTGTGGTTCAATAGAAACGTGTGCAGTTTGGATCATTCTTGCTTCTACTCCTTCTTGTTCTCATTGATTATTGCTTGTTCTTGTGTTTGATCACTAGTTGGTTCCAGATTTCGGGACTTACAAGCGACCAAGGTTTTATCGTTTGTATCCATCATTGATTCGTAACAGATGGCCTTAGCGACAGATTTCTCGTCAGAAATGTCCGTCACCGATACCTATGTTTCTAGTAGTGCAACACATATGAAAATCACATCAATCAGTGGCTTCCACCTTCTGTTTGCATGTAAATAAAACTAAATTTAATTCTCGATTCTCGATTTAATGTTATATTTTTAACTATTATCATGATTATTTAATCCAAATTTTACTTATTTGGTCCATTTAAAATTTCAATTATGATAATATTCTAAAATACTAACCATTGTTTGTAAGTTATAAACCGTATTATGATTTTATGTTACTATTAATTATTATTATTGTGAATTATTTTTAAACTAATTATTACTATTAAAAATTTATGAAAGATCATCCATTAGTCATTTTAAAACCATCAACTATTATTATTGGTAAATAATTCAAAAGTTACAATTCTATGTCTAGGTAGAAAATTTTATTTTTCTTTGCACTTATGTGAAATCTTGTTACGTTTTATGGGTGACAAGATTTACATAATTAAAGGATGTTGTGTCGGAAGTAAAACTAGTGAACCATGTGTGCAAGTTTTGTAGAGGAGTTCGTATACTATGTTCGTATATGTACATAATTTGGGTCGTAACCTTGTAATAACCAGAGTTGAACATAATTCGGGTTAGTCTGATTATGAACCGGTCCATAAATCGAGTCCCGTCAAAACATAGGCAAATGTGGATCGAAATAAATATAGTTGAGGCAATTGTTAAGGCCCGTCTGGACCGGTTCGGTTTTATTAGATTATTTTGGTCTGAGCTAATGTGCTTGGTCTGATTTTTTTATAATACAAACAATTTTAGTTTAATACCTTATAATACTTTTAAAAATTGTAGAGCATTAAGTGGTACAAATTTATAAATTGATTTTTTTTAAGAAACGAACTAAATGTTTTATAAAACATAGAAAAATGCATGGAAATTAAAAATTGCAAAAAAAAATTGCATTGAAATGGCAAGAACTAAAATACCCATTAAAATTGCAAGAATTACAAAAACATGCAATGAATGCTTAAATATTTTTCAAAATGAAACCGTTGTCAAAAAGCCAAAACAATGTTAAATATGAGTTCAACATGTTTTAACTTAACTACTATCGATATCTCTTTCAAAAAAAAAAAACTTAACTACTATCGATAATGCTAACACCACGGATCTTCACAACCCCTTTTGACTTCGTTTTATGCCTCACACCATCAACACCATCCCAATTCTTGAAATCCGCATAAACATTCGACAACTCCACATACGCGCCATCATTCTAAGCCTCTATTTCCACCATCTTTCTAGACGCAAGTTTAGCCATTTCCACATTTTTATAAATCTTGCTGGCATTTAGCAGTGCACCCTATCCTTCAGCATTGGGTGCACATGGCATACTCTGGATGAAGCGTAACGTTTCATCCAAACGGCCCAATCGGCCATATAAATCAACCATACATCCATAATGCTCAAGTTTTGGCACAATCTCATACTCTTTTGTCATAGATTCAAAATGCTTCCAACCTTCTTCAACAAGACCCGCTACACTACAAGCCTTTAAGATTGAAGTGAAAGTGACCTCATTTGGTGTGATGTTTTCTTGTTGCATAAGGGTAAAAAGGTCAAGACACTCTTTGCCATAACCATGCATGGCTAGTCCTCCCATGGCACCACTCCATGTGTACACATTCTTTTCTTTCATCCCCCCAAAAACATTCATTGCCGTGTTAATATCCCCACACTTTGCATACATATTGACGAGTGCACTACCAAGGGTTGTGTTGATTTGTAGTTTTTTATACTTTATATATCTATGTGCCCGTTGTCCTGCATCTAAAGCACTTAATTGAGTACAAGCAGATAACACGGAAACCATTGTGGCATCATTAACCTTCAAACCTTTCATTTCCATTGTGTTAAACAGTTTGATTCCGTTTAAAGGCTCCCCGAAACGCACGTACCCAGCTATCATTGCGTTCCAGGCAATCACATCTCGGTCGGCGTGCGAATTTGATATCTCCTAATCTTGCACAGGCAACCACCATTGTTGTCTGAGTTACCAAATCTGGGTTGTTGATGTTAAAAAACAAATCTTTTAAGTCCCTAAGAGACCCCATTTCAGCGTACAAATTAATCAACCCGCTTTGAACATGTGGGTCTTGATCCAAGGCGTATTTCAAAGCAGTCCCATGTACAGCAAAACCCAAATTCTTATCCACTAACTGTGCAGCAGACTTGATCAAGAACGTAAACGTGTAATTATCAGGTTTATGATTCGATTTTACAATTCTTTTATAGAAATCGAAGATTTTTTCAGGAGTTGAGCTCTTGGAGTAAACTCTGATTAGAGAGTTTAAAGCAAAGACAGAATAATCAACCAACCTAATGTAAGTCTCAACAAAACTCATGACACGTTAATTATTTATTGATCAATCATTATCACTGTGCATTACCTATGTATACTTGGTCCCTTGTACATTATTTTTCACAGGTTAATCAACTTCATTAATCTTCGATCACCTCTCAGAATCTTTTGACTCATGAGGGTAGTTTCATGAGGGATTAGCGATGGAATCAACAACGGAAAAAATCCTTCTCGCTCGGTGAATTCGGTCGCTAGTTTCAATTCCCTCTCATTTTTACGTTGATTTTCAATTCCTTCCCATTTTTTTCATTCCCCCGATGCCTCCCTCCCAAATCCCTATATTTCTAACCTAATTTCATTCGGCACCCCCACCCCCGACATCAACTCCGACCTCTCCCAACCCCATCATCACCTATTCGAGCCGCCCATACCCTCATTATTGTTGATTTTGGCCGCCTCTACCGCTATCATCCCCTATTCACGACTTCATGTCAACGACGTCAAGACTCTGATTTCTTTTTATTTCTCTTTGAGGCGTTGACTCCACAATTAGCGTCCTTGTTGGCAATCGCATCACCACATATGTAACATCCCGAAATGAGGTATAGTTCGATGACCTTAATCTTTTATGCAATTGTCAAGACTGTTATGATACAATACATGAAAGTCATCCACCCCCGGACGTTTCCGCCATCCTGGTTTGGGGGTGTGACAGAGAACATTGTTTGTAGCGAACTAAGTATATCGAACCACATAAGATATACAAACTATAAATACAATGGGACAAAAACTCTCTAACGAAACACTTTCGTACAAGTATACTTTAAAATATTAGGATATTTTTATAAAAGTATAAGTACAAGTATATTTACTAGTTGGGTGTCATAACAATAACAAAACAAAACAATAAGTATTAAGATAAGTTGAACTACGAGTAGGTCTCGGGGTATGTAATCAGATTTGGGATGAATATAGCATGATCAACTATATTTATCTAGGATGTGATTAATGTATGCCGAGGATTAGTCGTAGTGAACAAAGAGTCTAAACTTACCAACAAACCATACAAGGAACCCCTAATCTTAAAATACTATAGGAGTATTTTTGTAATACATTAAACCACACACTCAAATTCTCTATGTACCTCTTACCCCTACTTCTCGAATAGACTCTATGGCAAGATTCCACTTACCCGGAGATCCCTACCCTCCTAATCAAGGAAACGAAGGTTGGATCGCCAGAGGAGGATTTTGAAGAAGAACTAGAACCAATGGAAGACGGAGATGAAGAGGATTCGGAAGACACCGACTCAGATCCAGAGGTCTACAATCCACCGCAAGTTGTCCGATACCCCGCAGCCAGACTGAACTTCCATGGCCCGACGCCAAGATGGGCCGTAGACTTACAAAGATAAAGTCATGAAACCCTCAAAGCTTATTGAAGAAGCATATATCACAAGGGTAAACAAAATTATTAACAAGAGAAAGTGGAAGAAGTGTATCTCTCAAGAGGGTAGAAAAGACTAACAAGAGAAAATGTAGACTGGTCCAACCTAAAAGGAAGTTGCGTACAAATGAAGCCACAAATGTTAAAAGGTTTGCCAAATTGGCAATTTTGGCCCTACAAAAATGAAGCGCTTGCACTTCTGGAAAGTAGTCTAATTTAGACTTGATTCGTCCACTTTAGACATGGTTTGCTGGAAAGACAAAGTATCTCTTGAACTATGTAGAAATTATCAATTTTGTAAGGCATATTGCCACAGGTTGTTTACGAAAGGTTTGTATTGTGGATACATATCAAGTATTTGAAACAGATGGATAAGTTTAGTCATGTACTTATCTTTTATCTTGCAACATGTGTGTCTTACTATTTCTATGGTCTTCTTCTTATAGGCATGGCCGCTCCAAGTTGATTTGAGGCCCGCGGCAAAACCAAAAAATGAGTCACTTCAAATTCAGTAATCGTATACGATAATACAATGATGTATGTGGTGGGTTTAAAGGACGTGAGTTAAATATTAAAGCCAATACAACTGCTAGATTGTGGAAAAAAAACAACGAAAATATAACAAACCAAACCGAAAACGACAATCGAACCATTAGGAAAAACCGTTGGTTTGGTTTTTAAATTTTAAAAACTGATATTTTTAGGTTCGGTATGTCCTTTGTTATTAAAAAACAGATATTTAAAGGAAAGTAATTTTCACCTATTTGATGAAAAGTTTTTTATTTAGGATTCTAATTTTATCATATAAAGTTGAACCAAACAATGTGGTGGAACTGGATTCTTTTTCCCCTGAATTCCATTTCATTCCAACGGACCAAACGCACCCTATGAAGTTAAATATATAGCGGCTATATATTAACAAAACTATTGAAAAACTTGAGTATTTAATATATGAAAAATAATGGAAACTACAAGAATCAAACCTAGAGCTAATATCAAATAGACACGCCTCCTAACCAACTCAGCTAACAAGATGTTTAGCCATGTATTAACAAAGCTTATATATACAAAATATCAAACAACATTAATTTTCTGTCCCGGAACTATTACGAGGCCCGGGGCCATCTCCCAGCTTGTCCCCTATTAGGCCGGACTGTTAATATATGTGTGCATATTGTACTTCCCTTTTCGTAATAATTTTCTAGGGTCATATATATTTCTTTAGTTTTTTATATCAAGTCTTGTCTGATTAATGAGATCTAATTAAAAAATATTTTGAAGAACTGCAACACACAAGGGGGTGGGGTTCGGAAGAAAAAATTTAATGAGAGCAAATTTGAAAAAGAATCGCAGAATCTGTTTTTCCGCATTAAATGTTTGTTCTAGCCTTACTTTTTTGTTGTTTGTCATTAATTCCTTAAAACGCAAACTCTCGATATTATGCGGCAAAATAGCTTACCTAACATAGGAAGATTAATAAACAATTTCTTGTTATCAGGAAGTTGTTTAACAACATTACATGCCTTGGATATATTCATGCCAGATGCCATTTCTTTATATTGCAAATGCTGGTATATATACCAACTAACCTAATGAAAGTCTTAACAAAACTCATGACACGTTAATTATTTATTGATCAATCATTATCACTGTGCAATACCTATATATACTTGGTCCCTTGTACATTATTTTTCACAGGTTAATCAACTTCATTAATCTTCGATCACCTCTCAGAATCTTTTGACCCATCTTTAGCAACTCAAAAAAATCTTACAATGGCTTCCACCTCCTACCTTTGCATTTTTGCAATTGCACTATTCTCAATTACAACAAATGAGATGTGTTTTGCTTCCCGCAATTTGCTGCAAGCAACCACATTCCCAACACTGCCACAACCACAAATACCAACAATCCCGACAATGCCACAGCCACAGATACCAACAATCCCGACAATGCCACAACCACAAATGCCCACCATCCCCACGCTGCCACTACCACAAATACCCAGCATCCCTAACATGCCCAAAGTTTCCTTGCCTCCATTGCCTTCTATGCCTACCATCCCTAACTTTCCAACAACTCTTCCCAATATTCCTTTCTTTGCTCCACCACCTTCCAAGAAGTAGATTGTACAACAATATCAAAACAAAAGAAAAATCCATTATAGAGCTCAGGCGATTTTATTGATCTGGAGATTATAAGTTCTTACTTTGATCCCATTGGTTTTTTCATTTATGTCATCATATTTCACTACTAAAAACAGGGGTTTTAGAGACGGACGAATCCGTCGTTATTCCGTCGCTAAATGTTGTTTGCGATGGATCAGCGACAGATTCACTCCATAGGTAATTAAAATGTGGCTAATGATTCAGCGAAGGTTTTAACGACGGATCAGTTTTTCCTTGCGACAAATTCAGCGACAAAATATCCGTCGCTAAATGTCACTCAATACATTTACCCAGGATATTAGCGACAAAATTTGTTAAAGACATTTTGTCGCTGTTTAGTCGAAAATTTCCCTGATCAGTTTTTTTTCAGTAGCTAATCCCTTGCAAAGTTCATATACTAAAAAAAAAATTTCCGTCGCTGATCTGTCGCAAACTTTAGACATTATTTTTTCCCATAGCTAATCCCTCGCAAAATTCATAAATTAATTTTGTTCTTTTTCCATCGCTGATCCGTCACAAACTTTAGACATTATTTTTTTCCGTAGCTAATCCCTCACAAAATTCATGCATTATTATTATTTTTTTGTCACTAATCCGTCGCGAACTTGTAATATCATTTTTTTTATTATGATTCTAAAAGAAAAAAAAATACTACAATCATCAAATTATTATACTAAAAAACATCAAATAATGATACAACCAAAAGCAGCACAGAGAGCAGTAACATATCCGATTGTTATAACGTATCTGAAATCATGATGATGATTTTAGATGTAAATAAAGATGAAATTACAATTACACCCTTCAAAAAGAAATGTTGTATGCTTACACTGCTCCATTCATTCCATAACTAGCAAAAGCAGAGGCGATAGGGTATCAGGGTCTAATTTGGAGCATGGCACCAAACCAATCACAACAACAGATACAAGCATATACAGAACACAGCATGTAAACAGTGATACCCCAATCCCAATAGGTAAATCTCTCTGAGGATTCTTCACCTGTAATATAAACAATATGAAAATTTCAATTATACCCTTCAGAAAGAACAATCACAATCACTAGTGTTACCTCTTCCGTTGTGCTGGTTACTGCATCAAAACCAACATATGAGAAAAAAAAACGGTTGCAGATCCAACAAGTACTCCATTAGCTCCATACAGGAAATACCTGAAAATCAGAAACATGTTTCATGTTGCCAAGGGTAAAATGGTAATTTAACACATGTGAAAAAAATGAACATATTACCCGCCTGGAACTTTATATCCCACCCATTGAGTCTTGAAACCTATGTATCCACCAACTACTATGATGAAAAGCAAGGCTACAACGTTTATTGTTGTGATTATGCCTTGAGCCAATGAACTCTAAAAGTATTCATTTTATTAGTATAATAAAATTTAAGAATATGTGCTATAAGAATAAGTCATTAATTCAAAGGACTAAAATACCTCTTTGATTCCGGTGCAAAGTAGTCCAGTTATAATGAAGACTAAAATAGTAGCACAAGGATCAACTACAATTCCAAGAACGGTGGGTCGAGTTAAGAAAGCAGGAAGCTTATCTGGACATCCAAAAAACACAGCCTGTTTAAAATTGAAATTATAATTCGAAAAAGAAAAAGAAAATTGAAATTATAAATTAGGTTGAAAGAAGAAGGAGATGAAGTGCACCGTATTTGGGGATATGCCACGGGCTACTGCTGCTCCACCAAGTGTGTATTCAAGAATCAAGGACCAACCAATCAACCAAGCAACACTGGAAGTTGAAGGGGATAGAATATTGATTTGCAGAAAGAAAATATGATTATATGAATAAGAGAATTGTTAGGAGAAATTACGAGATTACCCTTCTACAACACATAAGTAGGAATAGTGATATGCACTCCCTGCAGATGGGCAACGACATGCGAGTTCTGCATAACATAATGCTAAAAGTCCAGCTACTATTCCGGCTATGAGGAATGATATTGTGATTGCAGGCCCTGTTTGCTCTTTAGCAACTGTTCCAACAAGAGTGTAAACTCCAGCTCCAATTGTTGCTCCAACTCCTGATAAAATTGGTTTAACTTTTAGGTTAATTGATACCAATGCATCCCAACATCATACATACATGCTAACATACATACATACATACATACATACATACATACATACATACATACATACATACATTTATAACAAATTCATTGCATAACGATACTAGGAGAAACAACGTGTATTAATCAACAAAACATATATATGTATCGATTTTACTTAATGTAAATCCGAGAAGTAATCAATAATAGATAGGCGATGAAAGGTGAAAGGTGATGATACGTAAGTTGATTAAAAGTTTACCAATGACGATGAGATCAAAAACAGAGAGACGTTTGGCCAACTGAAAACCCTCAACTCTAGCGACACTTGCATCAACCAAGGGAATAAAAATAATAATTCTATTTGTCTTTCTAAAATCATTAACGGAGGTTGTTATCATGTTTCCTACAGAATCATTAGAACATGTTTATCATAATAGTTCAATGGTTACAGTACATTGATCAAAAGATGCATTGGCCAAAAAAGAAGAGGAAATACGACAAAATTACATACCTACCTTGGAGAACTACTCAACGGATGTCGTACTTATATATTGACACATTGATCTGTCAAGAAATGAATAATGATTAAAAAAACTAATAAAAAGAAACAACTACAAAATATATTTCACATGGAGATATGGAGATATTTTATAACACTAAATATATTTCCATGTAAAGTGTTACTTTTTCTTTAATTTTACTTTTAAATTGTGATCAAGAGAAAACATTTTTCACAGATGTCAACTACTTAATTTCACTCTAGAACACAGACTATAATTTTTGACTTGCTACAAAAATAGAGCATCATCACTTGCTAAAACCCATTTTATATGCAATCATAATCATAGTTTTATGCTTTTTTGTATTTTATTTGAATTTAGATATAAGATGGTGTTTACGTAAGTCGCACATTGACACCATTGTATGTCTCATAAGGCATTTTATTTGAAAATTCAAAAGGAAATGTTTTCCTTTCATATTTTTCACCGGGAACATCCAGTTCACGAACTACATAATAAAGGGTAAGATAGTAAATTACTGATGAATAATGATGTTGAATTATCAATTATCAATGAAAAAACAACATAAAAGTTGTCATTTCATCAAGAACATGTAAAATTTAGCCTCCAAACAGATGGACTTACCAAGAGAGGTAAAGTCATAGAAGTTGCCTCTGTCAAAATAAATTTCTACAAATAGAAATAAAATACCAAAATATTATTAACATTGATTTGCATGACAATTTCTCCTAAAATTAAGTAGAAAACTCACCAATTTGACCAAGGAGTTCTATTTTAATGTCATTATGTTCAACCTTCTTCCCTTGCATTGGGTCTACAGATATCTGCAAAAAGGGCAAATAAGTAAATTCAACTTGTTTCGATCACTAGCTAGCAAGTAAGAGGTTTATTATCCAACAAAATTACAAAACCATCAATAAATACCACTCCAGCAATGCTTTCTTGACTTTGGAAAAGAGGCACCATTGATATCTGACCATTATCCTTCTTCAAAGGAACCTGATGATGAATTAGTAAAGAAAAATTATTATAGCAGGCCAAAGTATTGATATACTAAACAATAATCATCTATCTAGAATGAGAACAATAAGAATAGCATACCAGTTTGCGAGTTTTCACATCATTAAGTGTAACTAAAATATTACAAGAAGGCTTGAAAGCTCCTATATTAGTAAGTGGAGTGAAGTAAATTGTTGTTTCCTGCAATGTTCTTGTAATATGCATTAACCTTACCAAGTATCCCCTGAAAGCTGCTTGTGCCTTAGTAGCAGCCTGTTCTAGCCTGATTAAATCATCATCATTTGTAGCATTTAGTAAGTTGGCACTGGAGCTCTTCTCTAACTGTGATTGTTCTCCATTTATGTTGCTGACGTGGCACACTGGTGTTGATATAACTGTAGAATCAACAACAAGATCATTGGATTGTGTGTTGAGGGTAATGGAGGTCTTTTTGTCTAAACTAGCATCCTTCAAGAATAATAAGATACTATCATGTATATATGTTTTACTAGTAACAGGTGTAACTGTAAACTGTAAATTAACACTTTTACTTACTTTTGAGATATTAGATTTTGATGACTTCTTCCCAAAAAGAACAGTCTTCATCCACTTTCCAGGAGATTAGATTCATTGAGTAATTCACGAGATTCATTGAGTAATTTTCAACAGATTGCTACTTGTTTTCAATTAGGTACATGCTATTAACTTCATCAATTGTCAAGAATATCAATTCATAGCTAATCCTATCAATCTAACACAATACAATACAATGACCTAAACTTATGCATATCATCCATAAAGTTCAAAATTACCTCAAGGTTAATCAAATTTGTATAAACAAGAGCTTGAATGGGATGACCACCACTGTGTTCCAGCTACCGCCAACAGAACCGCCACCGTTATCTTATCAGGTGATCGATGTCGTTGTTGCCGCTAAGCAGTTGTACGGTCTGGAGTAGTTGTGAATCAACAGATCGAAAGGCATTGGCATGGAAGTAAGCAGTGAGTCAACGAGGAAGGGAGTCGAACCGAGAAGAAAGCCAATGAGGATGTGATTTCAGATCAGGTTTTCCTTTGAGAGGCTTCAAAGAGGGATGATGCAGGTTGACTGTGGTGGAGGCGATTTCCTGGACAGAGTAGAGATTTGACGGTCATATAGGGCTTTGGTAGGAAATCGTTCACTTTGGGAATAAATCGGAGGGAATGAAAATAAAACGAGGGAACGAGTAAAGGAAGAAAAGCCAGGAATGAAAAAAAGAAGGCGTAGATTTTCTGCAAGGGTTTAGCGAGGGCCAGGAAAAAAAAGCCACTAATTTTTTGCAATCTGTCGTTATTCCCTCGTTGAGAGGTTTTATTTTTCGACGGTTTAGCGAGGGACTGTTTTTTGTCGATAAAATCATACAAATATGTCGTTGATCCCTTGGCAATACATCTCTAAACTTCTATAATTATTTTGATTGAAATATTTATGCATTCCATCAGTGATCCCTCAGTAAACTGTCGCTAATTAGCTACAGAAAAAATCTGTCGCTGATTCTGTCGTTGTAGGTCATAGGTCAGGTTTCTAGTAGTGTTTGTGTCTAGATTAAATGGTTGTCGAATGCTCTCCTTCTCATGTTTTCATGTTATATATAATTTGATACACTTTGTAATATATATATATATATATATATATATATATATATATATATATATATATATATATATATATATATGTGTGTGTGTGCACTGCATGTTAATAATATACAATTAAAATTCTAAAATCATTTACTAAATGATTATGTCATTTTATATTAAATATAAAATAATAATCTTTACATTAAGTTGTTATGTAAAAAAATTGTGAATATTTTAAACGATATAATAAAATTAATACCGGTAGAAAAACAAGTATCAGCGACCAAGTAATGCCAAACTAATCAGCAAAGGATTTGCTAGTGATCACCGACGGAAAACACGACAATTTCTATTCCGTAAATCCTGGCAATTTACAAAGGGATTAAAGAGGGATTAGCGATGGAATCAACAACGGAAAAAATCCTTCTCGCTCGGTGAATTCGGTCGCTAGTTTCAATTCCCTCTCATTTTTACGTTGATTTTCAATTCCTTCCCATTTTTTTCATTCCCCCGATGCCTCCCTCCCAAATCCCTATATTTGTAACCTAATTTCATTCGGCACCCCCACCCCCGACATCAACTCCGACCTCTCCCAACCCCATCATCACCTATTCGAGCCGCCCATACCCTCATTATTGTTGATTTTGGCCGCCTCTACCGCTATCATCCCCTATTCACGACTTCATGTCAACGACGTCAAGACTCTGATTTCTTTTTATTTCTCTTTGAGGCGTTGACTCCACAATTAGCGTCCTTGTTGGCAATCGCATCACCATATATGTAACATCCCGAAATGAGGTATAGTTCGATGACCTTAATCTTTTATGCAGTTGTCAAGACTAGTCCTTATTTGAGAAAAAGGTGGCAATGGAGTACGTGGGGCGTACGCATATGTACGCGCAGCGTACTCATGTACTTTGCATGATCGCGGAGGCCACCTAGTACGCTGGGCGTACTAGGCTCAGAGTGAAAACCCTAATGCCTTGAGTGCCCCTATTTAAGGAACATGATGGCCTCATTTTCAGCAACCATTTCCAGCCTCTAACCTCCCTCAAACCCTAAATCTCGTATTCCTTGCATGTGTGAGTGTTTGTGGCAAATTGAGTGTTCTTGTGAAGCTTTTGGTGAAAAAGGAGCCTTGAAGGAAGGATAGTTGGAACTTCTAGCTCTTGGATTTGAGTTCTACTCTTGTTGGTGCATCTTCCAGAGGTATCAAGTTCGAAACTTGCTCATTGTTGTGTTAGTTCATGTTTTGGGTCCATTTTTAGGGTTTTATGTCCCAAGTTTGGAGCTTTGTGAGTATGGTGAACTTCAAAGCATATCCTCTGTCCTTTTAAGCGTATTTGGTTGTTTAGATTCATAAAAATGGGTACTTGATTGTCTAGACCTCCCCGTACTCGCTGGGTGTTGACTTTCGTTGACTTTTGAGCTTTTGGCCATTTTTTGGACTTTTGGCCAAGGAGGGGCAAAATGGTCTTTTTGCCCTCCTGAGATTTTATAGAAAGACTCGGTCTATCATTTTGGGGTTATTAGTATTATTTATTAATTAGAAATGAATGGGATATATTAGGCGAAGTCTAGAATGGCGGTTCGGGTGCGAGATTGATTGCTTTCCAGCGAGAGGTGAGTCTTCTCACTATACTTATTTGTGTGGTAACTTTTGTGTGACCGGAGGGTCTGATTTGTATTACTGACCGGAGGTTCTTATATGTTTATGTGTTATTATGCATTCTTTCTTTGTGACTTATGTTGTTATGTCATTTTGTGTATTTATTGAGCTATGACCGGAAGGTCCATACCGAGACGTGAGACCGGAGGGTCTTCACTGAGACACATGACTGGAGGGTCCTTATTGAGATTTAGCCACGAGAGGCTAATAACTTGTGTAAATGGTATTTTTCATAACTCACTAAGCTTTGTGCATACAATGTTGATTAAATGTGTTTCAGGTACATCTCAAGATCGCGGGAAGGCACCGGCATGATTGTACACACCAGCTTGATGTTTAGAGTTCATGAGGATTCTGGGATATTTGACTATGTTTCATAATAATTGTATTTGACAATGAGAATTTGGGAAGAGTTAATGCTATGAACTATATTTTGATAATTTAAAAATAAAAATAAATTGTTTGAAAATTTGGGTTGTTACAAATTGGTATCAGAGCCTTGGTTTGAGGGATTCAGACACGCCCTCGGGTATGTTTGGACTAAAACTAACGAGTTGATAAATTTCCAAAAGAAATTACTTTCTTAAAAAGATTTTTTTTCTAAAAAAAAGAGTAAAGGATTTTAAGAGAAAAGCAGGTCGGAGCTGTGTGTACAATCAGCCAGAGCCCAAGCGGTGGTTTCCCAAAATACCCTTATTTGGTTTTATTATGTGTTGAATTGATAATTGAACTGTTAGAACTGCATGCTAGATGATAGTCTAGGTATCTTCAGGATGTATGAGCTAGAGTTGCCTGATCTGTGATGTCATAGCCTAGGGAGTGTTTCCTTAATTGAATAATCTAGGATGAGTACCTAGATGTTTAGTTTGAGAAGTCTTCTGAGGGAGTGACTAGACATCTATGTAGGATAGAGAACTTGTGACTTAGAGTCTTAAGAGGACGACTTGGGACAAATATGGGTTGGTGTGGAATGTAGTATTGGACCCGTACTACTGAAAGCACCGGGATCCGTACGCGGCTCAAAGAGAAATCTTAGGATGCTAAGAAGCTTGCAGGAGTGCATAAGTGTGGAGTGTGTGCGCTTTAGTCTGTCTCTGATGATTTTCGTGTTTATGTTTCAAAGAGAGTATGGTGGTTACCCGAGAGGCCAAGTGCTAGTGATGCGGAGATTCGCAGGATCATTGCTGAGGAGGTGGCCTTAGCTATCAGGGAGGCCATCCCAGAGATGTTCGGGTCTATTAAGACCACATTGATCGAGACTTTTGACGAGCGCTATGCGGTCGTCACTAAGGTTGTCGTTGCCACAGCCGTCGCAGCCCTTGCAGCTGCGAGGCAACAGGGGATGATTCTTTGATGTTCTGAGAGTTTATCAATACGAACCACTAGAGTTTAACGGGACCCAAGACCTGATTGATGCGATGAGATAGATCTCTGATGTTGAGGGATGTTTCTGTACCTGTTCATTCCCTGAGAACCTGAAGGTTCGATTTGTGCTGAACCAGGTTCGCTTGGGAGCGAAGGACTGGTTGAAGTTTGTGACAACTAATTATTCTCTTGCAGAGCATGCTGCAGTGACGTGGAAGAGGTTCACCCAACTGTTTCGAGATGCGTTCGTTCCCCAGGTGAAGAGGGAACGGTTAGCCCAGTAGTTTCTGTCTCTCAAGCAGAAGACAGAGACGGTGACGGAGATCACGAGGATGTTTCACAAGATGGCATTATTCTACCCTGAGCACGTGTCTACAGAGCAGACATGTATGAGCCGGTACTTGAGCATATTGAGGAGGGATATTCGGGAGTTCGTGGCGAACTCATCGTATCGGACATTGGTTGAGCTTCGGACCAATGCCAGGAGGAGGGAGATAGAGCTGGAGACCCAGACGAGAGAGGAGAGTGAATCTCAGGAGAGAGATAGGAGGCCAGTGCAGTCGCAGCCTGCGGCTAAGTGGCCTAAGCCTACTAATTCTAGAGTAGGAGGCCAGAAGGGCCGCACTTGTGGCAAGTGCGGTAAGAGTCATGAGGGATCTTTCCGACTAGAGATTTGTTTCAAATGCAGCAAGGAGGAGCATTTGGAAAGGATTACCCCAAGGGATTTTCGGTTTGCTTTCATTGCAACCAGACTGGCCACAGGAAGGCTGAGTTTCCACAGCTCACTAAGGGGTCGGCCCAGACCCCTGCTCCTGCTACTTTGTTTATTACTGAGGGACGGCCAGTGAAGGCCGAGGCACCGAGGGCTCGTAGGAGAGCTTTCCAGCTGACTGCGGAGGAGGTTGGCGCAGCACCTGATATCGTTACTGGTATGTATCTCTTGTTTAAATTATTG